TGATCTCAATGCCGCATTCCTGCACCAGTCATCCGACATTCTTCTTACCTACTCGTCACAAAATGTTTGTAACGTGGAACCACTCTCATACTGTGATGTGGTAAAACTTAAAAAGTTGCAAATCGTCTTCTGCTGCAGGCCCGAATGACTTACATCCAGCCCTCTTCAAATTTGGTGCTGCTTCCCTAGCTGGGGTAATTACCTCCATTGTAAATGAACCCCTTCACACTTCTACTATCTGTGACTGTTGGAGGCCGGTCACTATCATTCCAATCCCCAAAGCATCCAAATCTTCTATCCTCTCTAAACGTTTTTGTCCCAGAGCATTAACCTCTTCAGCTCTTAAATTGACTGAAAAGGCCATTCTCAAACGCCTTCAGCAGTCCATAAACATTCCCAGTGATCCTTTACAGTTTGCTTACAAGCCAAATGGATCCACTCCGGACGCAGTCTTCACCCTCATTCACGTCATCACTAATTTTTTGAACAGCTCTGTTAAGTCTGTTCGGTGTGTTTTTCTCGACTACTCTTCTGCATTTGATTCCATTCCTCGATCTAAGTTGTTACAAAAACTGGAACCGTTTGAATGTCCCAAGCAGTATTGGCTTGGTTATCCAACTTTTTTACCGATAGGGTACAAACCACTAGATTGGGGAAAGCCACATCGAAACCTCTAGTCAACAACTCTGGGGTCCTTCAAGGAGCTGTGCTATCCCCATACTCATTTTCCACTTATGTGTGATATTCCCTGTGTTTCTCCCGCAGGAATTTTAAAATATACAGATAATGTCGTGTTGTGCCAACCCATTTCTTCTAACTCGGGTCTAGGCCCTTTCACCGATAATATTGATCGAATATAGTCATTCTGCTCCTCATCGGGGCTAACCCTGAACCTCAGTAAATGTGTTGAGTGTTTGTATTGTTTTGCTCACTCCCCATATCCGACAGACCCCACAGTAATTAATAACAATCATTTATCCGGGGTGAACTCTGTCAAATATCTTGGTGTAACCATAGATAGCAATCTTCATTGGTCAACCCACATCCACAGCTGCATTGGTAAACTGCGGCGTCTATGATTTCAAATACGAAAGCTCAGGCAGTTTCGCGCACCCCAGTCAGTTGTCTCTACTTTTTTATCAGTGTGTTTTCCCCATCCTACTCTACTGTTCTCCAGTTATTTTTCTTGGTTTACTCAAACGGGATTTTAAAGCCTTAAGCCGCGGTCTAACCATTATTAGTCGTGTCTCTTTTATTCCTGTGAATGAATTAGTTGTAAAGCTTTAAGAGTATCGTGTAACTTCCTGTGCGAAATTCGCTGAAAGTATTCTCACATATCCTGGTCACCCATTGCATGCAGAACTGACACTTTGTCTTTCCTATTATTCAATACGCTCCCAGTTTCATCAAATTTCATCTCGAATTAACGCTTACCGCAATTCACTATACCGTATCTTGCTCGGCTACGCATAAACAAAGAGCGGACAATAAGTGAACTTTGTCTTAACCTGGGATTATGAAATGTCCCCATGCCTGTAAAAACTTTTCTCCCCGTTGATTATGTACTTAGTGACGATTAGCGTGTATGATTTTTTTTAACTGAAATGTGAGCTCCAATGCTTGCAAAAGTTATACACAATACAATGGTCTTACTACACCAGACAGCGATATGCACGTATAATCCGAGGAATCGAACAAAGTTTTTTTTTGTGGACTTGAATGAGACTTGTCACAAGAAGTTCACTACTCTCGAGAAAATTTCCGACGTGTTGGTTTCCAAATCCGTCGCTAGCTAAAAAAATTATTGTGTTTGAATAAGTTCACCCTCCGCCCGCCCCCCAAGAATGACAATCATGTACTCTATGCAAGCAAGCTCCACGAGCAGGTCTAACTTTCACAATTTTACTAAGCAACGTTTAATACCAATGAGACTGTATTTCGTGTGCGCATGTATCTGTAGTCTATGACATTTCTGAATGATCACTAAAACATGTCCATATATGCGTTTCCTTAGGTTGTGCAAATATAGGTTTGAGATTGGATCTCATTTTTGAAGCGTTCCTACATGTGTAGGCGTTTCATCCGGCGTTTGCTATACAGTTAATATGTGGGAGCTGGAGCGAGAAATGATTTTCAGCCATCCTGTAGATGTCGAGTACTAGTTAATCCGATTCAACGTTGTGCTGCCCTTTCTTTCTTTGTTCAACCTACTAAAGATTACCCCGTCGTCTTTCAGCTTTTTCCCACCGTTCTTCAGACTTCAACTCCATCCTTTATCCTTGCCGTAAAGTCAAGTTCATCGTACCCAAATCGGAACGACACTCCGAGCAAATAAAACTTATAATATCACGTGATCTGTTCATAAAACATTATCCATAGCAGATACCCTGTGTTGACTCGGACACCTGTCATACACCAGATTGCAGTCCAAAGCAGGAATTATTGGGCCGGAAGCTTGTTACTGTTTCAACCGCCTCGATTGCGAATCCTGGTCGTAAAACCCTTTATTGAGCGAACACATTTTTTTCTTACTGAAGTCATGAATTCACGCTAAAATGCTTAATGCTCATTTAATCTCAGAATCGATTAAATAAATCGTGAATAAATTTGCTGTTTATTTTGAAACCGTTTTATTTTGATTGTTGAACTGTTAAATCCAAACATTATCACCACTTTGCGTCGTTCTTTCGCCGGTGACAGTTTAACGACAACTGTTTTTCCTGCGAAACGGATACAGAATCAACGGATTTTATGCAACTTGCTATCATAGATTACAGCCCGATACCTCTGATTTGTGAGCCTGATGACCGTTCATATATGACGTTCGTGCAAACCGTACTCTTTGGAAGTCATTCGAATGAGAGCAGTTTTTTTGAGAAAATCCACCAGATTTGTAACTTACAGATCAGATTTAGATGTTTTCAGTTGTTTGGGATATGTTGTAAACCAGTTTTTGATTAATTACCATTAGACATTAGTCAGAAGTCTATGTGAAATAAATTATTTATTGTTGCGAGAATCCTCGTTTGGGTTGGGTCTAAAAAAGGACTGCAATTTGTGGGTGATTTGACTTCGATAATTATGCATACGGATGCTTTCGTGGCCCTCTTGTGGATTGGCGCATTGTCAAACTACAATTTGAATAGTTCACGCATTGTTTGCGAACTTCTGGGACATATATCAGGTCAAATTTGGTCATGTTCTATGCTTCTTTGCTGTAGACGATGAGAAATGAGTCGTAATCTCCAGAGTGAGGCGGTTGGATAGACTTCCTACACAGCTGTGAACGGTTATGATTCTTTTCCAACCTTCTAAGATCTCATGTTTGGTTTGATCAATACGTAGGCAGTCCGGGAGTACATAACACCCGTCTGTTGAAGCCATGTTGCATGCACTTGGATGTTGTGGAGTCGACGCTTTTTTCCATGTAATAGATCACCAGCCTCTCCCAGGGATAGTGCGTCTATCCAACTGGTGGTCGACAAATGAACTAAGGTTAGTTACTAGAATGAATTCTATTTGAATTTGACCCCTCTTTCTCACAGAGCAGGTTGGCGAAAAGAACTTCTAACATTCACCTTTGTTGTTTTCGAAACGAAGAGAAATCGTTATCAAATGCGCTACTAACAGTGCACCAGTTCCAGTCACTTGTTGTTGTAGGCTTTTCAGGGTTGCTCATGTTGATAGAGTGCTCAGTGTGACTTGCAGCGTGATTTGACGCTTTAGAGGAAATAAAATCGCCACCTTCATTCTACAAAGTCTGAACTAACCTCTTTGGTGTTGCATTCCAGCACTGGCAATCAACCCGTAATTTTCCATTGAGACTTTTGAAACATACATCTGAAACTGATCAAAATTTTCACATCCTCCTCAAAACCCTCACCCGTTCCCTTCTGGGAAAAAGCCGTGCAACGCATCGATTCAAAATAGCGTCATTGCACTCAATTATCCCTCTACAGTGTTCTTTTCTTCATATAGGTTTATTGTCTAAAAATTGCAGGTTGGAGTAAATCACATGTGTTCATTTCAATAGTTGAGTCACTTACCCGGTATCAGATGTCTGGGTAAATATTTTCGTTTGTCACTTCACTCAAATCTCGGAGACCGCGGCAGTCTATCGATCTTTCAGCTTCTATGTTTATTTTGTCCAAAAAGAAATCAATCACTTTTTTACTTACCTACTGGTTGGTCCATGATCTTACCCAATGATTGAAAAACGCCTTATATGTGTGGTTGACGAGAATGCCTTTGTCTAACTTCACGCATTTCACGTGTGCAGTTCCACCGTGGTGGGTTCACTATCACATCTGTGTACATGCATGCACGGTATTGGGGTTATCAGTTTGGCTTGTTCCTATGCCCTAACCTTGGTCGGTTGTCATATAGCTGTACGCTTCATTTCCGTGCTACCCTATGTCCTTTCTGAGTGATATTTTTTCATCCGGTAAGTTTGTCACTCAGACCATATCTCTCACGATGCATGTAACAAAAACCAAACTGAAGTAGGGGATTTCTTTCGGGCGCACTTAAATGAACAGGTTAGCCTTTGGTTATTACACAATGAACGCCACATCCAAAATCTACATTTTTATTATGAGGGTTGAAAAACGAAAGTGTTTTACTTTTGGAGCTAGAGCAGAATGCTGTTGTATGGATGGTGTATTGATCCCACTGACGTCATCGTAATCTGCCATCAAAATTAGATGATAATTGCAGAATTCGAGGACCAGATATAGCAAGGAAAACCGTTAAGTTAAAACTTAAGTCGGTCAGTCCGGTCGCAGATTCAATTCGAATTCACTTCTCTTAATTATTTTTTCATTGCTTCTTCTGTTGATGACTTTAACCGTTTCGCGCGTGACCTTTCAACTAATTCAGACTAACCGATCTATCAGATAATCGTTCGACCTCGCATTCTGCCATTGGCTTCTCGTTTCAATCCGTCGGTAAACTGTCACCAAACGAGAATGATCCGGTTTTAGAATGTTTCGCAACATACTATGCGGGAGTACGGGCGTTTCGTTGCTATCGCTTTCTTGGAGGCTAGGTATAATGCAAGTCCCTTGTTTAATTAACTCACATTCTCCTCTCTTTATGCTGAGTTTACACCTAACACACAAATTCCGTTAATAGTCCTCACTTTGGGATTGCAAACTTATACAGAAGACATTGAATGGCTACAAACCCAACTCTGGCTAATAGGTGTAAGTTGTGTTCCCATGAACACCTCTCAACCAAATTGTCCCTGAAGGCTAACTTCTCTTTATACTGTCTTTGACCTGTGGTAATGTTCCGACAATTTACCAGTTCGTATAATATATGTTCCCTTTGTCTTTCATTTACTAGTTCAGTGATTGATGAGGTTTTGCATAATGGGGTGGATATTGTTACCGCATTTAATTTTGCTCGTTTATTCCCTATTGGGAAATTGCTTTTTCTTTCGCATCGTTGACTTTCCTTAACTGGATCCGAAATCTATGCACTCCGAACCCTCATAGAGCCCTCTCGTGTTGGTATTTGCCCCACACTATCTAACTTGCAGCAATCGGTCGTGCTGTATTCTATTCTTGCCAACTCACACTGATCGTTTAGCCCTTGTTCTATCCGCCCCCTGTCTCGTCTTCTTGCTTACTTTCAGTCAAGACATCCTGTTAGATGAAGTACAACGAATGATCAATAAACCGGACCAACTAATCATTCAAGAATCAGGTACGTATGATTGTATTTAGCTTTTGTTTACGTCATATGGTTTCATTCGCAAAGTTGCTTATATGGTACCAATTCAACACACACGTTTTAGTTCAAACGAATTTCATGGTGTGATCAATTTTTAACCTAAGTGAATTCGCCTGGAGAAAACTAGAGAATGACAGATTCTTTCCAACCGTTTTTCCTTTTGTAAAAAAATACAAGCTTGTCACCCATCTGATATGTTCTCTGTCAAACAGAAGGCGCTAATCTCCACTAGCGACCCTTTTCTCTTATGTCTTAGACCAAAGTTTACACTCAGTTGCCATATCCCGACTTTTATTCAAACAAAACAAATGAGCATAACTTAAGAATCTTTCAGACGACATACTCGTTCTCCTAAGGAAATCTCCTTTTTTATTGCACACCTGTGTGATGAACAGCAGACGGGGCGAACCCCATAGTCACGAGAATTGCCATCATCTAGCGGCTTTCCGTTCAACGATCTCTCTGTTCTGTTAAACAGTTTTCATGAAACAGCTGATGTGATTTTCGTTTTATGCTTTCCAATGGAAATAGTTTTTGTTCACACCGGCAGAGTATTCCACCCACTACTGAAAGCTTTTAGAAAACAAAAAGAATAGGCATTCAAGATGCACCGAACAACCACTGTCAAACAGCTCGCGGTGTGAATCAGAACAGAAATGATAAAAGACTGAATGCTTCATTCTCAAAAGAACTTCTGGGAGCTGGTGATGGAAGACGGTTATGGTAAGGGATCAGATTGCTGTGCGGACAGAAGAAACGGACAACAAACAAAATTATTGACGTGGACAGTCCTTTTTCCTTTAAATGATCCCCATAGACCACAGATTATCCATCTCCCGTAGACCCCGTCGCCTATAAGGAGGTCTATCATCTTGAAGCTGCAAAAGTCACAAGTGCAGTTGGTTCACACAGTCGATCTTCGTCCATTCTCAAATATGGTGCTGGTTCACTCACAGAGATATTCGCGTCCCTTAATAACAAATCCATTTACACATGTTCAACCCCAGATTCTTGGGTACCGTTCACCATTGTTCCCTTTCCTAAATCATCATCTAGCATTTCATCTAAACGTTTTCATCTTATCTTCGTCACTTCCTCTAAACCTAAATTAGTAGGGCGCGATTCTCACTCGCTTGCAGCTTCGTATTAATGTTCCCAATGTATTTTCAAATCGTTGGATTGTTCCTAAAAGTCCGTTCGTTGCGTTTTCCTTAATTATTCTTCCGCTTTTAATTTCGTCCCACGATCTGTTCTTCGAAAGTAACAACCATTCGGTTGCTCCACCACTTTACTGTGGTGGTTGAAAGATTATTTCACAGGAAATATTCAAGGAACGAACGCAAGTGGCATCATTTCTAAACCGTTAGTGAATAACTCTGAAGTTCTTCAAGGTGCCGTGCTTTCTCCATACTTATTTTCAACACTCATCAGTGACTAACCCTCTATCCTGCCAGCTAAGACTCTTGAATATGCTGCTGATTTGGTCTTATCTCAAGCCATTTCAAATCAATCTAACATGGTATCATTTTAATAAATAATAAATAATGTCTTTCTACTTGCTCTTTTATTTATTGAATATATAAATGTGCAGTCAACATTCAGACAGTTTATTACGAGTACAGGTATTTTCGAACCAATCCGGTCTCCAGTTGAGTGCTTCCAAAATCTTGGAATGTGTCTTTAGTCTTTCCCGATCTGAGTATCCCTTGGGACCCTCAGTCATCAATTTTGTACCAGAACACATACCGCAAAATACCCAGGAGTTACCGCAGAGGGCAGTCTACGGTGGTCCTCTTATTCTCGTCTCTGGAGTTGTTACTGCAGCAAATAATCGGAAATAAGCAGTTTACCGGTTGACTAAATTACGGCTGGATCGAAGTAAGTGAGGGGTACCTAGGGCTTTTTCCCGACGGTGGGATAAGTCTTCGCAATTCATTGGGAAGCTGCCACCCACCCAAGCTGGGCAGCCAAAAGACAGCAATCAAAACCGGCGCACGGATATGCGTGGTAATGGTTGTTCAAACTGAAACTGAAAAGCTGGGCCCCTAGCCACAGCAACTGTTTCGTCCACGTTCTGCTTGCCTCTCTGGCTGCATGAAACTAAGGGCCAACCCCGAATAGCGAACCGACAATCAATGCGCCAACGGACAACATTTGAAACCGAAACCCGAAGGCTTTGCATATCAGGTCTCTAGGACCTCCCCTTCCCCGCCCGTCGCATCTGTGCCCCGCGGTCTACTGGGCTGGACTTTTGGGTTTAATGCTTCGGTTAGGTTTCCTGATCGAAAAACCCCTTCGTCGGTTTGGGCTACCGCGAATTATATCGTGCCCTAAAGTGTCGAGCACCCTCTTGGAAAATCCTCTTTCTCATCCGTCTGTACCATTTCAAGATTAATTTGAGAAACTACCACTGATTTACAATACCGTCCTTTTGAATGCAGAAAGAAACGCTGTGGTTGGATCCGCTTCCCTTCAGCGCACCTACTCGGGCAATTGGTCATACGTGGATTGACCACCTATCTTTCCATGCTCTTTCTGTGTGGAAATGAGGTAGACCTCAGTCGTGCATGTTATCGAGTTCACTGACGGCCGTTGATTTGGCGAATTGGTGAAGTTCGATTTGCAAGACAGCTAGGCTGCACCCGACTTGATAAGCATAAATCATGACGCACTGTTTCCTGCGCGCTCCAGCTAAGGCACAACTGGTCGTAGTTGACCCCATCAGCGCGGCATACCCATATACTGTTCAAGCCTCTTAACAATGTCTGGATGACCAGCATTCAGCACAAATTTCCCTACCTCCTGCTGGTCGTTTCTCAAATTAATCTTATAGTTCTTCCGTTCACTCCCAGACCATAAGAGACGCCTCCTGTTTACGCCACCCATGAGACAATACTCAGTTTTGAACTACACTTTTTCCCATCAAGTTTTAGCCAAAACCCAAAGTCCTTTAGCCTCGACGCACAAACTTTAATCACGCCACAGTAGGCGAGCCAGATCAAAAGGTACCGGAATATTCTGAGGTCAACGGATGTTAAAATATTTTAAACTACAAATGTTGATGTTGCAACGTTTGGTTGAAAAATAAGATGTGGGGCTCACACGCTGTATAACATGGTGACTGTTTAAGGTTTAATTGATGTGTCCTTATCGTCAAACCGTTTGACAGATATCTTACAGCTTCAGTGTTTTCCTATAGCTTACGATATTCTGATGAGTAAAAATCTCAAGTGTAATAACACCAACGGTAAATTACTTTGCGTTCACAAGCCCTGAAATCAATCAAAAAGTGATACCACGAAAAGTAAATGCTATTCCACTTAAAGTGAACTCCTCTCTTGAAATGTGGATACATTAATAGGCCGAGGATAATAAACACTGTCCACAAAAGACCCCTTTAGCACATTGTTTCCCATTGAGCTTTATACACAGCTATAATTCTTGAGTCAAATATTGCAGCTTTGATAAACTAATGATCTAGTAAGTCAGCAAATTAAAGGCTGTAGCCTTGATAAAAACAAAATCAGAGTTAGAATTGACTGCATTCGATGTTCGCATACTTTCAGATCGGTCTCCAAGCTGCCTTAGCTACAACCCTTGAAACTGGCTTCTTGACTGAATTCCGGTCAGTGGCCAACTTTGCGCTGTACCGCTCGACGGGTCAACAGGTACAGAACAATGCGGCAGTGCTTATTCGTCTTCTCGTTGTATGCACCGACTGCTAACAGTTCGCCAGAACTGAAGGATGAACTGTTCGAAGATCTCTCTCGACTGCTCTGTCAACGGAAATCGTGGTAGTCGCTAGAGACCTCATTGCTCAACTGGAACTCCTGGATAAATCAAAAAGGTGCATCGGAGGCCCGCGCGTAATCCCAGCCGACCGGACAAACGACAAAAATCGCCTATTTCAACTCCACGCAGATTACGGATTGTTCATATAGATTACCAAGACCTCCCACAAGAAGTGACACCACCTCACACGGAATCCGTCCATCTCTTTACAGCGGTATACCCAAATCGAGCACATCGCCATCAGCTGCGGCCGTCTTGGTCCGTTCAATTCTGCCGCTCTGACTGGTCAATATCGGTGGATATAGATCACGCCTTACTACGACTCCGATTCTCCCTACATCTTGTAGACATCCGCAAAAAAGCCGCCAGCAACGGATACCCGAAATAAGTTGTAAGCGACAGTTCTAAATCGGCCTTCGAAGCGAAGCAGTATGATCGCTTCTTAGTACAATCACCAGTCGAAAGACTCAGTGAGCACTGGACAGCAATTAAGGAAGCATTCCAAATGTTGGTCAAAACCGCAGTGGATTCTGGCGCATTATCAAAGTACAAGCGATGGATCTCATCGACTTCGGTTCTTCTGCTAGACGCCCGCATAACCATTTTCCTGGATGCCCAAAATTTATTCTGAGCGATCACTGTAACAGCAATTTGAGTCGATATTTTACTACACCGAATTCGATGCTATCTATCGTAGACCATCATTCAGGATGGTTGTATGACCGATTTTTTGGAGGTAGGAAGTAGAATTTTGTCCTTTCTTTTACTAGGCTGAAAACAGCCAGACACTCACAGTTGTTTAGTTGGTATATACATCGAGGTCGTATTGATATTCTATCCCGGTTTTTCTTTGTGCCCACTCCCTACTGGGAGCATTTACCTAATATGTTCGTTTCTCTCTCTCTCCGCTCCTGCAGATCGCTTGTTCTGTGGTTCGCTTCATTCCCGTCTAACAGGACTGTGTACAGCTTTGGTGCATTATCTACGTCTTGTACCTCATCTGCCGGTCACCGATGTCATCCCCATGGAAACGGAAAGTGTGGCCCTGAGCTTCTTGCGTCTACTGGTCGAGGTAGGTGTGGATGCATAGGAGCTCTGAGTAATTTCCTTTGCTTGCTGAACCTATGCGTATCTGACCATTGAAAGCTTGCTGCCTCGCTGTGCAACGCATAGACTAGTTTAGCCTAATTTTATACAAGAAACAAAACTACCGTAACAGAGATACCTTAAATATTCGAGTTCTTCAACTTGGGAAATGCTTTTCATAGTCCTAGTTCACTGAGTATTTACATTTAGGGCTCCAAATCGACTCGTTTCTGGCACGGTGCCTGATAGTTTCCCGTATGTAGACATATATTTTTATATTGTAGTGTCAGTGCGTGATTCCGCATACCACTTCCCACTTCTCTCCGGCCAGTTCACTTTGTTCACACTGGGCTACCCGCTGGATCAGCTGTCTCAGTTCAAGTCCATCAGAAAACCGCAGTTGCATGCAGCTCCATCTCGATCCCCACTGTCACCAACATTCTTGCACAGTGTACTCGACCTGATGGACACCTTGCTGCAAACCACAGCCGGACAGTTTTTAAAAGGGGTCAATGTGCTTGGGGATAATGCAGAGCGAATTCTCAATGTGTTTCTCATCTTTCTGGCGACTATTGATCGAACTGGTGAGTTCAGACATTGGCTAAGTTTCCTTCCTGGCTGTGTTACACCACCCCAGTTTGTTCAGTTCTCAGACATACATATGTTTACTTCTAATTAAACCGTCATTGATAAAATCCTCGAAATGGCCGAGAAAATATCGCATTTGCATCCTCTGAGGTGTGTTCGATGGCTGACGGCCTAAACCTCATCAACACACACACTAGCTTCCGATTCTGATCAGGAAGATAACTTTATTGAGCACCAAATAGGAAGTTAGCCCGGTTTCGTTGTTTATGAAAATTCGGACAGCAACCCAATACTTATCAAATCACGCGCATTTTGCATGATGTAAGCATTGGTCTTCTAATAGAAAGAATTCTCTTTTTGGTATTGATACTTGAGCAAGTAGATGACCGAACGGACATTATTCGTTGTTGTTTTCTAATACACGTTTTCGTGTGATGAACATTAGACGGGGTAAATCCCATAGTCTCGGGGGCATGCTGTTCAGTGATGGTAACCGATACAGCAAGCCCGGGGACTTGTATTGGTGAACGACATAAAGCCCCGATATGTTAGGCGTGGTATTGAACCGGAAGACAGTAGAGCTGCCTACCACCAAAGTCGGGTGGCGGTGGCGGAGCTCGAACCTCAGATCATAGGGTTCAAAGCACGCCTGTAACAGCGACGAAACCATTGCGCCACCACTTTGGTAATATGTCGCACATAACACTGCAAAACTTTGAATACACTATGCAGCATTTTCATCNCGTTAAGAACTAGCAGCAACACATACCAACCGAGTTAGCCGTCATTGGCTCGCTAGGTGCGCAAGGATGTAAACTACACACATCATCGGGTTACCGGGTGTGGCTTCTATGATTTGTCTCACGTCCGCCATACACGATATCTTGCCCAGCTGTATTTTCTCTGAAAGCACACCATTGTCTAAGATTTCGGGATATGGAGAGAAAAATCATTCTCTGGATGCACGTGTTGTCGGAGACTGCCGATCACCGATTATTTTCAATATTTAACTGCTGAGCATGCTAATTTATTAACTTGAGTAGTATGCGGTTGAAAATGATTAGAAAGTTAATCCTGGTAGCAGAACATGTTAGACCGATCGCTGAAAATCCTTGTAAACACTGTATTGCTAGATGGTTAACAGCTGGTAGTTATTACCAAGAATACATCAGCTATACGGGCTTTTCCTATGTTACCTGTTGCAAGTTGCAATTTCTCATATTCCTGTCCCTTTTTCCAACAAAGTCTCCACGGGGAGATTACCTCAGTTCCTAGGTTTCATTGCATTTGATAATGCGCACTACATATTACTCGAGGGTTGTGGAGGATTTGCTTAGATAAAGTAATGAATTTCATCGTGTACAGTGTAAATGAAGCGTGAACTGAAAAGCCAGCAAGCACTGGACGACTGTTCCGATCGGATTAGATTTCAGCGTTGCGAATCAACCCAACTGCGGATCGAGCTCAGGCCCCTCAGGTAGAACGCAACCATAATACCCACGTAACCACCGGGTAGCTGATCAAACCTTTTTTTCATTTTGCCTATACATGGTTCCACACAACTAGCTAGAAGTAGCTGTTCAGTGCTTCCTGTTTTTTTCTGTCCACTCTTATTTTGCTCTGTACCCGACGAACCTCACAATATTATGCGTAATACACTTGATAAATATATTCAAAAACTGTTGTTTCTCATTCTCGCAGCTCTCTTATCACATATCTTCTCCCATCCCTCCCCCTCCACTGCACTCTTGTTTTCTATTCAGTAAACTTATCACAACCTATGACTTGCTGGTCTGACAGTTTGCCGCAGCTGATTGGTGTCTCCACCGACACAGAGCACTGTCCAACTTCTCTGATTGCCAGTCTTTTGGCTCCGGGCTATCCGTCACTATATTCAATCCGTTCAGGCTGGTACTTGGATCCAGTTTCCGCGTCCACAATCGCCAGTTTCACGACATTGTCCAATTCATGTTCCGCCGCCACAGTGCTTTCGGGTTCCAGTGCCAGGGCGGGCTCCACTGGTTGGGCTGTGGAACCGCAAGGCTTTGTTCAATCCAATCAGTTGCTTGGCTATTGTCGTCTGTTGCGGTCGTCGCTTCTTCTGACTAATGAATCTACTCTGGCAAGCAAACTGAATATCTGTCTAATTGGTGAGCTACTTGTTACACCTGCGCAACCGTGCAATAATTGGTTAGTCAGAACCAGCTTTACCTTCACCAATCCAAACTTGGTTGCATCCAATTTCCACTATACATGGTTTTCTTGGCTTCCGTTTTCTAGTTTCAAAAATTTAATTTCGGTTATCGGTTGGTGGTGGCGCAACGGTTTAGTCGCTATTACTGGCGGGTTTTGGATCCTATGGTCCGAGGTTCGAGCTCCGCCACCCGACTTTGGTGGTGGCAGCTCTACTGTCTTCCGGTTCAGTACCACGCCTAACCTATCGGGGCCTTATGTGGTTCACTACTTCAAGTCCTGGGGTTTAGGTTACTGGTTTCCATCGCGGAACAGCAGGTTCTCGTGACTATGGGGTTCGCCTTGATTGCAGTTCATCACACATTGCTGTGTAATAAAAAATAATAATAATAAAAACTCCCCCAGAGCGATCCATCCTGCTGGAGATCTGAACCCTGCCATCCAAGTTCAACGATAAGCCTCCTTGTGCAGCTGACTACAACAAGTCTTGCGGTTAAGTTAACCGGTTTCCTCTTAATGGATAACAGGTCTTTTTGACCATAGAATTTAACTCTTTCGAATATTGTGTGCTATATAAAATTTCTGAAGTCGCAGAATGCCCAGAGCTACACTTTTCCAATGGACACAGAAATCCGGAGTTCGTCGTTTTTCACTCTCGGTGTAGAACTGAAATCACTGGAGCACGATACTTTTTTTATGAAACTGATAGTGGTTGTCTTTATAAGTAGTCTCGAATCTGTAATGCACACCGCCGTCTGTATAAAAGGTTATCATGGTGAATGTGTTTGGAGCTAATTGTCACATTCTTCATCGAACGCAGTGAGAATGTAGATTATAATGTGGTTTCTCATTAAATCGGATAGGGAAATTTAATATCCAGTTGTCACTCGAAATTTAGTCCATGGATTGATTTGATAAAGAAGAAAGACTGCTGATATTTAACACTTTTTCTGAGTACCCAGCCCAAATATGTACAAGGACATCTGGCAATCTTTTTTGCATCACCTTTATTCACATGCTTCAACAGTAGGTCTAGGTGAGCTGTCGTAATCTGAAAGTTCTCGTCCTGTTATTCGCTGTGATCCATGCCCTTGGTGTTTTTTCATCGACTCCATTGGATTGGTGTCCCCTTCCCAATGTATGACTGGGGTTCTCGAGTGTAACTTCGCCGATCTCCTGTTTCTATTTCTGTAGGCTGTATACGCATACTCAATACTCGACCGTCCACTTTGGCAGCCAGTTCGACCAACTCGATCCATGAGGACAAAGGGCGTCCGTCGGGTCGCCCGACCGAACCCGACCTCACTCTCTCCCTGGACCCCGATCCAGAACTCCTTATCACTCAGATCGCGCGTTTGGGCGGCTTTGGTTGGTTGGATCGGCGACAATTCGAACAGATGTGGATGGCCTACCTCGAACTGTTAGCTGGTTCGGACGAAGAGGATTTGTCCACCGATCCTCAGGGGGCTCCGATGGAGCTGAGTGCTGCGGAAATGGTGAGTGCGTCTGGTCAAAATCGTGCTGTCAGCCCAGTACAACCTTAAATTCGATTCCTTATACGGAGACACTCTTGGTTAACCTTGGACTTTTATTTCCCGAAAGTTTACGGGCACGTTTTCTCGCTTTATCCTCTGCCTTTCCGTGATATTCTTTTTAGAATTAAAGACTTGAGCTGTTGATCCTAATGGTTCACGTTCCTAGTGGTTGAACTCCCTGGCATCACCCTTCCATCGAACTCTGATGTACACAAACTAAAATGAATTTCACACTGCATCGGTCATCGCTTAGGGTAATTAAGGTCATACTGCCCACTGCAGCGAGCCAGGGGATTCTATAATAAGGCGGCTCCTGCGCATAAATCCCCTCTTTGTTTTATTACGAATTCTCCCCCCAACTCTCGCAACCTTTGCTCCTGACACGTAACATTTCCTATCAGCCTATATCACTTAGGTGAACCGAATTTTTCCCCAGGTTAGGAGAGGACTAAGCCCACTCAATAGATCAGCGTGACGTAGGTATCTTACTAAACGATATAGCTGATGCCTCATTCACGGATTGGATATCAATAATAGTCTTTCCGCATCGAGTCCCCCAGGTTCGGTTGGTTTTCACAAGGTAAACAACAGTGTTTGTTCATCATTTTTGTACTTGTGGCGACCATTTGCTGTCCTGATGAAAAAAAGAACGAATTCTGCTTCAAGTACATGAAACTCATTCGTGAACCGAAGCTCTCATTTAGTTGTGCTAAAAGGTAATTTTAACGCACAAAATGAAAAACTGAGCTCACGAGAAACCGCTTTTGCTTTCCCGCCCAAAGCGCAAATAGCGGTAATCCACTACTTCAATCTTGAGTGGACCGTCATCCGTTCCTATACATGTTATACACAAACAACGCTTTGAAGACGGGAACGTGGTGCTCCAGTTCAACCTGACAAATGGACCACACAGCGGTTAACTACCGTTGGCTTGGCTCATTGCAATATTGCGGGTTTTATTGGCCCACCTAGGTGAAATCTGACCACGCACTAGTTTTCATGCGCTGTACGTCGACTTACTGAGTGCTGATAAAACCCGAAAACTTGGTTAGCCCAGCGGGCGGAACACTTCACCTTTGGTGGTAAATTGCTTCGCTGTCGCCTAACCTAGTACCACATCAGTACTAGTGGGGCCATATGTGGTTCGGCATTCCAATTTCCTAAACTTAGATAATCGGTTTCCATGACAAAACGGTGGGCTGTCATGACTATGGGCTTACCCCTTCTATTGATTATCGCGAAATAGTGTGTAATTAAAAACACCTAGCCTGGTACTATCACGATAACCTCGGTTTTTGAAACCAAAACGTCGTGGACAGTGTCATATTAACCTCCTAGGTGAATCATGTCTCGCTTCACTGTATGCAAAATAGTGGCGTGTGCCTTAAATGGTTTCCGAAATGTTCGCCTTGAATAAGCAGCTGAAGAAAAGCGGTGCAATTTGTAATAGGCTGACCATATCGTTTGACTGCCCGAATGTTGCGAATTTGCAAAGCACACTAAAACATGTTAATCCTTTTGGTTTACGTTTTATGCCTTCAAAGTGCAAAGTGATGCTTCTATTCTGGGTGTCGACTAATCGTGCTTTGAAACTACATGGCCAGGAATTTACTGCAGTTGATTGCTTACCCCTCCTAGACCGTTGCGTTAGTAATAGTATAGCGTAATGACGGAGATAACCGCACGATTTCGAAGGCTCGCATGGCATACTCTGTGCGGAGGTTTTGGGCCATCGGTGTTTATCTAGTCTAACCCTCTTATAACGGAGTGAGTAGGTAAGTAACCTCGAAGTAAGCCGTTTCCTATTTAGAAGCGCATCGGTGGAAAATCCTTTGTCACACCAAATTCCGTTCAGTAGGTCGTGCTATTTAACACACATGTTACGCATGCCTAGTTGTTGTCTACCTAACCCTAGCTTGTTTGCAGTTACCGCTCCATCGTAGAGAAAATCACGTGGAGGTCAACAGAAAACCTAGAACCGAAGCATGAAGACCAGCTGGTGTAAGTGTCTCTTGTCTTACTGGCTGGCGTTCAAAGGACTTCAGTAACTGGTCGGTTGGTGACACTGAACAGCATGGCAGTGAATCAGAGGCAGTGGAGGTTCTCGTTTTCATTTCTCATTAGACCACAATTTCCAAGTTTGTATGCAAAGTTCGATTATGTGCTCTGTGTGTTGAGGTTCAGTTTCTTATCCCCTCTAAATGCAAGCCCGCCTAGCATCCGCCCTACGCATTCATACTTACTTTGTGGATATTTTGAGCTTCGCAGCGATCAACGAAGTTGCACTGTACCATATTGATGATGATTGCAAACACTTGCAAAACTGAACATCGAGCGCATAAACCGATCTGAGGTAATGCTTGTCGGCAGTCTACCTGCAACAGTCAAAAAAAAGAATCGTCACTTATTACCCATACTATACGAGTACAAACCCGCCTCCTCGGCGTTCTTATTGCACAGTTTGTGTTGTTCTCACATATATTACGTTGTAACGTGAGGCAACGGGATGCGTGTCCATATTCGAAAGTTATGGTCACCGGAATAGCTAATCCACATAGTCTTTCAGATATACTGTTCACCAGCTGCAAATAGTGTTGAATATGGACAGCATTCTAGTGCGCGACCCAGGTGCTCCACGCACGGCTAAGAGACGTAAGTCATTAGCGAACATTTTAAATGAAGCCCTGAATGTTTACAAGGGCACTTATTAGTGATGAATATGGGGACAGCGAACGGAGAAATATGCTTCCTATCCTATGACAGTTCTCTAGTGAAATTCATCAATTGTCTCCTCCGTTGGTTTTGGGATCTCGATTCCTTCACTTTCTAACACATTCATCCCCTGATATCACCACCCGTTTTCACCCCACCCCCCACCCCCGCGTCGGACCCCTTTGCCTTCGTTATAGGAGTCGATCGAACGAAATCAGTGCATTGTACTCGGGTTGCACGGATTGACTCGACTGTTGTTAGATGTCTCTCTACGACCGCAACCCGGTGATCCGATTCACTCCAGTATACCACACCAACCCCGTCTGGGTACGCCACATTTCTCACACACTCGGTAAGCAATATGTCTGTGTTCCTGTTCCTTTTTATCCCGGAGATTGGACACCGTCTTTTTTGCGGTTTGTGTGTACTCGAAACTCAGTTAATTAACTCATGCATGTATTCCTCACAGCCTGTTACGTTGAATTGGCAAATGCGCTACAACATATGGAAAAGGAATAAGTGTGGGGAGGGTTTGGATGCGAATCAGCAACGGATACGTCATTGACGCCAGTTTCGGACCATGCCGGCTAATGTCTCGGACATATATTCGACCAATTCATTGTCCGGGCTATCTCGTGGAAGCTTTTATTCGTCAATATTGAATAATAAAGTACTCATCCCCTTACACTTGTGCCTCTGGGCCATAATATGTTCATTTTCAGTAATGTCTACAGTGAAACAACCCCGGTTTACAATTTTATGCTTTCAGACTATGAACGGACTATTCATGCTGAGATAAGTGTCATAGGTCTTTCTCCTCCATATTTTGCTTTACCCAGACTGGGTCGAAAACTGACCGCATTGACCTCAATGATTGAACAGGAACGACTACGATTACATCTGCCACAGGGTGGCACATGCCCCACATTCACCGCGATGGCCACAGCTACCGCAGTCAATGCGATCACGCCGGACACGCCGGGGCATGCATTGTCCACGGGTACACCTCGTGCCTGGTTCGGTCAACTAATCAGCCCGGATGCAAGTGATCATGCGGCCGAATTAGCCAGCTCAGTTGAAGCGAATTTGGAACGACTGGCCGATACCCCAGACAGTGTGCCCGGACCAAGCCAATTTGCCGTGCACTGGCTTGTTCGGCGTCTGATGCCACGAAGTGACTCAGAGGAGCAAGAAGATGGCGAAGTGAAGCTGATCTCAGATGACCGCGGACTCGCTAGTCGAGACGAAGAACTTGGTAAACGCTTTGTTTTACCCTTTGCTGTCATCTCTATCCCTTCCTTTTTCACTATGAACGTTGTCTCAGTGCGGCGAAACGAATGTATATATCATTTCCATGCAATCTTGTCGTTCAAATTCTTCATATTCATGGATAGTTTATCGTTTGGGAATTAAGATAGCTCTCTTTCTTACCGCAAGCCAACCCGCATTTGGTTTTGGCGAATCCTGCAAAGAATAGTCGTGCAGTCTGGACTCCGACGCGCGTGATATATTTCGTCACAAGCACGATTTTCAGTGGCTCTTACTGCTAAAAGCGGCAGCCAGATTTGAATGGAACTTTCTCGTCGATGCCATTACAGAAGCTGTGTGGATCGAGCTCATTTTGTGGCATACCTTAGTATGTGGAATGTTTGAATGATGGATCTTGTAATCATTAGTGTGACGAAAATAAATTTACTAGGTACAAGTATATGAATGAAAAGACAAAAGATTACCAGATACGCATGCCTGACGAGCAGCAAAACCGGTTGTTCGCTTCCAGGAAAATTTTGTTCAGTCATTCATATACTACTAATTGTGAGATATATATATATGTATTTTGACTTCTATTGGTGTAGTTCTTTCATTCTTTGATTTACTCTTCCAATTTATGTTTTCTCGCCTAAAATCATCACGTCAATCCTGTTTACCCCTTGCTTTTTGAATTTAGTGTTGACTCCGCGACCAAACCGCATCATTCCCGCAATACATACGATCGCTGATTATGAGGACTTACTATTTTCGTGTCTGCAATCTACTCAACTGCTCTATCAATCCTGGGTACGACCGTCGACCACG